CACTGTATGACCAACAATGTTCTGGCCGTATTTATTAAAAGGATTTAAAACAGTTTTTGATTTGAAAGTCACAACCTAAAAGACACATTTTTATGTTAGTATTATTAGTCATATAAGTTCTTGCTCCCAAATCTAGAGATTATTAATCCTGTCTAAGGGGTATTAATAGAAAATTTTAAAAATATATACTTTTAAATATAAATAGAATATAAAAATCCTGTTTTCTGGAGTAATACTGTTGTAACTATATTAGCACCACAACCTTATTTTGGAGGAAGGGGTAATGCCGAGGAAGAACAAGGCCATTTCATGGAAATGGATTTTCAGCAGCAGTTAGAATTGTTATTCTTTTTAATAATTTAGATTTTGGGGCGTCTAGGTGGCTCAGTCGGTGGAGCGTCTGACTTCAGCTCAGGTCATGATCTCTTCTGTTCGTGAGTTCGAGCCCCGCATCGGGCTCTGTGCTGACAGCTCAGAGCCTGGAGCCCACTTCAGTTTCTGTCTCTCCCTCTCTCTGCCCCTCCCCTGCTCATGCTCTGTCTCTCTCTGTCTCAAAAATAAATTAAAAAAAACAAAAACAAAAAAAATTTTTTTAAATAGTTTTTTAATTCTTTTTTTTTTTTTTAATTAATGAAGGGAAGAAAAATATACCATTGTTTACCTTTAGCATTTCTTTTTTTTAACACTAAAAAACATTTTTTTAATGTTTATTTATTTATGAGGGAGAGAGACAGAGAGAGCACGTGAGCAAGGGAGGGGCAGAGAGAGGGAGACAGAATCTGAAGCAGGCTCCAGGCTCTGAGCTGTCAGTACAGAGCCCCACGCAGGGCCCAAACCCATGAGCCATAACATCATGACCTGAGCCGAAGCTGGACCCTTAATGGACTTAGCCACCCAGGCGCCCCTACCTTTAGCATTTCTTAAAGAAATATGATGTACAAAAAAATCCTAATGAAAGTTATTAGTTATTTATTCTTGAGTGGTATTCAAGTTCCTTTCTCCCATAATAGTATCTTCCTTCTATTAAATCGCACTTTATATTTTAAACAATATTTTTCAGTATTACCATGTTGTTACAGATATTATATTTGCAGTTTGCCTCTTGGGTGGTAATGTCCTCATCTAATTTCTTCTTGAGATTGCTGTATTATATTACAAAAGATGCATTGTCTGACAATAGAATGTTTACTGCAGGAATAACATTTACTAGTGTCTTTTGATACACCTTAAATTTATTCTGACTAAAAAAAAAAAAAGTTGATAAACAAGGTTTTCTTCTTTAACTAAGTTCCACCTAAGTTCAGTGGAATCTCATGAAGTTTTCTTCCTTCAAAGATCTGGAAAGTAGCTTGTTAAACAAAATGATCTTTAAAGGATTTTATACTTACAAAACTAAGTTTTGATTTTATATTTGGGCATGCATAAATCTGAACCTTAATAACCTATGATTTCTACCAGGAGGGATATGCTAAAATTAATTGCCAAAACAGGGTTAGTTGTAAACATAGGTGTGAGTAAGGTAAGATCGCCATCTTTGCTCCAGGCAGAATGGTTCCTAGAACTAGGATTAGCTTTCATTGCTCAAATCTCTGGATTTTACTTTTTCTGGTTTGCCAAAATATGGTAAAACAGAAGTATGTAATTTTCTCTCTTTTTGCAACTATTTTTAAGTGAAAGTACCATGCATTTGTATTCTTACTCTCATTCATTTCTTAACACGTGAAAATCAAGTTTAACTTTGTAGTAGTGCCTGTTAGTCTTGTGAACTCTCTACCACATCTCCATTTACACTGCTTCACACATCCCTCACAGGACAAGTTTCCACAAAGACCTGTTTTGTTCTACTGTCCGATCCACCCTGAAGAAACCAGTTGCCCAGCTATGTGCAGCTTTGTAAATCAAGATGAACTGGTCAGAAATTGGATACAGAAACAAACAAGAAACTAAATAATGCTCCCTGATTAACAAGCAGAGTGTGTTATATATAATAAAATTACAATAACAAAATGTTTTGCATTCTAAGAATATTCTAGTTAGAAAGCTCCTGTCACATTCATATTATAGTCATAATTCAAGTCATTAGCTTGTTCCCATGACTCTTAGAGTTGGGCAAATACAAGTAATGCTTTAAAAAAATTTTTTTAGTATTTATTATTGAGAGAGAGAACGAGAGAGAGAGAGAGAGAGAGAGAGAGAGCAGGGGATGGTCAGAGAGGGAGACACAAGAATCAGAAGCAGGCTCCAGGCTCCAAGCTGTCAGCACAGAGCCTGATGCGGGGCTTGAACTCACAAACCATGAGATCATGACCTGAGCCGAAGTTGGTTGCTTACCAACTGAGCCACTCAGGCGTCATCCCGCCCCCCCTCCCCCCATAAGTAATGCTTTTAGTAAGAAATTCCAGGCACCAGAGGGCAGTGAGAGCAAATGATGAGATGTAAACTTTAGTTCTGGGTATTCCTTAGCAAGCCTTATGTGGGACAGCTAAGTATCGAGTTTGATAAGAAGAGTTTAGTATTGGACACAGATTTTCTTCTTTTTGGCAACAGGTAACAGACCACAATAAGCGAAGAATACAGCCTCATGCAGAATTTGTTTTTCTTTTTCTTTTAAAAATTTTTTTTAATGTTTATTTATTTTTGAGAGAGACAGAATGCGAGTGTGTTAGAGGCAGAGAGAGAGGGAGACACAGAATCCGAAGCAGGCTCCAGACTCCGAGCTGTCAGCACAGAGCCCGACGCAGGGCTCGAACCCACTAGCTGAGAGATCATGACCTGAGCCGAAGTCAGATGCTCAACTGACCGAGCCACCAGGTGCCCCCAGAATTTGTTTTTCCAGGGACTCTACATCTAGGTTGGGGAGAAAGGAATACCCAACACACAATTCATAAGTAACAGAATATGTTTTTTACCACAGAAGTAAAATCAAACAAAACGTATTCACAGCTTAATTTATGATTTTTGAACATACCCTTGAAATATTTTCTCTTTGAGTAAATGTTGTGTCAAATTATTTTACCTTCTTATGTAGAACTTTAAAGACTCAGCATCAGATAACCTCCCAAAGACTCTGCATCTTCTGTGATGCTTTTCTGCTCCTCTTGAGAAATTAAAAAAGGAAACAAAGGAAGCAAAGAAAAGATAAAATGACCCTTCTCATTGTTTCAACAATAGGCAGAGACCAGGCCTGCAGAGCCAAAGTAAGATAGAGAATTCTCAGAGGACTTAGTGAGAATATAGAGTCTAGGTCCTGAATCACACGAATATATTATAAAATATAAAACTAGTGGGGAGAACACATGACACATTAAAATTTTTTTCATCCTCCTAATTTCCCAACACATTTTGAGAAGAAAACCCTAATAAAAATGGGGTTTTCCCCCTCATAAAGCCCTTTTCCCACCACAGATATTCCCAGCACACATTTATTTCCTATTCTGAAGGAATCAGATTAGAAATCAGTTTTCTAAAACATTTTTTCTTTCTGTGAAGAATACAGAATTACAGTTGAAGACTAAGTACCCTTTTGCTTCAAGCTGCTTCTCCCTGACACTCCTTTCTCAGGTATCCTGGTCTGTGCTCACATGCCTCCAGGTTGACAATTTGGGACTATAATTTCTCAGCATATTTTCTTGTTTCTCAGTGGTAAAGTTCGAATTGTTGGAAACAGTAGGCTTAAAATATGAATTAGGTTTTTGTTATTATATTTTTATTGAATATAACCTATACGCAGTAAAATGCACATATCCTGTCTGTACAAATTTGAGTTTTAACATTTGTACACATCAGGGGGAGCCTGGGTAGCTCCATTGGTTCAGCATCTGGCTACAGCTCAGGTCATGGTCTCACGGTTTGTGAGTTTGAGCCCCGCCATCAGCACAAAACCTGCTTCAGATTCTATGTCTCCCTCTCTTTCTGCCCCTTGCTTGCATTCTTTCTGTCTCTCTCTGAAAAGTAAATAAATAAACATTCAACACACACACACACACACACACACACACACACACACACACACACACTTGCACACATCAGAATCAATGGGGAGGACTTTGTAAAATAGTCCTGCCGGGGTGCCTGGGTGGCTTAGTCAGTTAAGCTGCCAAGTCTTGATTTTGGCTCAGGTCATTGATCTCGCAGTTCATGGGTTCAAACCCTGCATCAAACTCTGTCCTGACATTGCGGAGTCTGCTTGGTATTCTCTCTCTCTCTCCTCTCTCAGCCCCTCCCCTGCGCTCTCTCTCTCTCAAAATAAATAAATCTAAAAACATATACTCCTGCCAAAAGGTTAATTCTGAGCTCCACCTCATTAAGAATCTTTGCCTTTGTTGGGGCGCCTGGGTGGCGCAGTCGGTTAAGCGTCCGACTTCAGCCAGGTCATGATCTCGCGGTCCAGGAGTTCGAGCCCCGCGTCAGGCTCTGGGCTGATGGCTCAGAGCCTGGAGCCTGTTTCCGATTCTGTGTCTCCCTCTCTCTCTGCCCCTCGCCCGTTCATGCTCTGTCTCTCTCTGTCCCAAAAATAAATAAATGTTGAAAAAAAAAATTTAAAAAAAAGAATCTTTGCCTTTGTAAAAGAACCAACTTGAGTAATGCATGTAAAAATACATAGTGTAAAAAAATAAACACATATTGTATCTTAAGATATTACACCAATTAAATTTAGGTTACTATTTTATTAATTAATTGATTCATTTATTAATGTATATTTATTTTTGAGAGAGAAGCAGAGAGTGAGCAGGGGAGGGGCACAGAGGGAGGGAGACACAGAATCCCACGCAGGCTCCAGGCTCTGAGCTGTCAACACAGAGCCCAAGTTAGGGCTCGAACTCATGGACTGCGAGATCATGACCTGAGCTGAAGTTGGAGGCTTACCTGACTGAGCCACCCAGGCACTCCATAGGTTACTATTTTAAAAAAAACTTAAATTTCTCATGTGCCTTTTTCATGGGTTTGCAATGCTGGCTCACAAGTGAAATTTTTAATTTGTTTTTCTGTTTGTTTTTAAGAAAATTAATGCAAAGCTTCATGATGGAGTTTGTCAGCGCTGTAAAGAAGTTCTTGAATGGCGTGTAAAATACAGCAAATATAAACCATTGTCAAAGCCTAAAAAATGGTGAGTTATATTTCTTAATTACTTTACCAATAATATATGTATCATAGTTTATTCCTGCTTTATAAAGTGGATTCATCCTTGTCCATCCCATTCTCCTATAAATAATGTACCATTTTTATGTGTTCTTGTTCATAAAAGATGGGTTAGGGAAGAGAGGAGAGAGTTTGTTTTGCAAAATTCTGTCTCCCATTAACCAGGTAATAATATTTATTGTGGATCATCTTTACCAAAGTTGACCAAAGTCTTGAAAGGAGTCTGATGTTTTTATTTTTATTTTTACGTTTTGAGTATAGCTGACTCAATGTTACATTAGTTTCAGGTGTACAACACAGTGATTCCTCAAGTTTATACATTATGCTGTGATCACAAGTGTAGCTTCCATCTGTCACCCAGGCGGGGGTGGGGGGTGTCCTTTTTTTCTTTAAATTTTTTTTATGTTTATTTATTTTGGATAGACAGAGATAGAGCACAAGTGGGGGAGCGTGGGCTCAAACTCACAAACCGCAAGATCATGACCTGAGCCAAAGTCAGATGCTTAACTGACTGAGCCACCCAGGTGCCCCAAGGGTGTGACCTTTTAATTCTATCCATGAAGATTACTGAAATGGTTTAGATCGAGTATCAAATAAATTGCTAGACTGATAACCTATGGTTTCATTTCTTTGAAGATTTGGGTGCAAATGAAAAGGTACTGGACTTTGTTTCTCACCTCAGTACCTTACCCTTTTTCTATAATTCTGGGGTTCTCTTTTATCAGCCTATGTACATCCTGGTGCTGCTCCCTTATATCCTTTAGCTCAACTGAGTAAGAATCATACTGGGGGATAATTGCTGCTTAAAAGAGAAAAGTGATTATTTTAAATATAAAAATTAACAGTATGTGCAGTAGTTTTTTTACACATATACTATGAGTTTTAATTTAGTAGTCTATATAGTAGATCTTTGAAACACATTTGCTCCTTGTTGCTTTATTTTTCTTTTAGCTATTCAGTAGTTGTATGTTCCTTCAATGTATTCATTTCTTTTTCCTTTATGGGAAGAAGTGTTACCTGAAGTATGGAGGGCTCAAGCTATTGTTTTCTTGAGAATATTTAACATTTTTGAATGTTTTAGTTTGGGTAATTTATTTTGCATAAAATACTCCTTTTAATACTGAGAGGTAAAAGCCTTTAGGTAGGATAGTCTGACTTCAGCTATTTAGATTTTTTTTCCTGTTTACTCGTTGAGGGCAGAACACCCAAGTCGTTCATGGGTGTAATTGACCCCCTTTTCAATAGATACATGAGTTTCTCTCTCCTCTTCTTCAGTCTTTTCCTCATGTTCTTTAGCATTTCCTTCCAAAAGAAGATACTTTTAAACAAATCCGATGAGTTTTATGCTAACTGGCCCAAATTAGCAGTAGAGAATTTGGCAACTGTTTGTACTATCCAATGCTAAATTTCCATGAATGAATTAGCTGTGTTTTCTTTTTTTTTTTTTTAATTTTTTTTTTCAACGTTTATTTATTTTTGGGACAGAGAGAGACAGAGCATGAACGGGGGAGGGGCAGAGAGAGAGGGAGACACAGAATCGGAAACAGGCTCCAGGCTCTGAGCCATCAGCCCAGAGCCCGACGCGCGGCTCGAACTCCTGGACCGCGAGATCGTGACCTGGCTGAAGTCGGACGCTTAACCGACTGCGCCACCCAGGTGCCCCATTAGCTGTGTTTTCTACTGTGTTCTCTATAGCTGGTTGTGCTATAAACCATGTAGTTTTAGTTTATAGGCTTACTATAAGATTTGTAGCTTTCTAGAAGCACCTGGCTGGCTCAGTCGATGGAGCATGCAACTCTTTATCTTAGGCTTGTGAGTTTGAGCCGCACATTGGGTTGTAGAGGTTACTTAAAAAAAAAAAAAAAAAAAAATCTTAAAAAAAAAGTGATTTCTAAGTGTTGGTGTAACTTTGAGCGTCTGGTTGGCTCATTCAGAAGAGCATGTGACTCTTGATCTTGGGGTCATGAGTTTGAGCCCCAAGTTGGGTATAGGAATTACTTAAGTAAATTTAAATTAAAAAAAAAAAAAATCTTAAAAAAAAAAAAGAATGGTTGGATTTGGACACCTAGACCCAAAGGTTAGCAATTCTGGCCTGTCTTGGAGTCATTGAAGTGAAGGAAACTCATGATAATGTTGTCATTACCTAGGTAGTAAGTACAGTGACCCAGAGCCCTTTGAGAAACTTCAGGTGGGTCAGGAGATGAAGGCTAAGAGGACCTCAGGAGTTGCTGTTCCACATCACCCTAAGGCAGATGGCGTTAGCCACAGAATAGCTAACGATGAGTGCAAAATAAAGGAAACACATTACTGTGTAAATACCTGATTACAGATAACAAGACATTCAAGCCTAATGGAAGATCTTTAGGAATAAAGAAGCCCAAGCTAATGTAGAACAAATGATTACTTATAAGAGACTAAGAAACTGCTAGTTAAAACAAGGTCTGAACATGTTCCTTAGGAAGTCACCAGCCTGGCCCAGAACATCTTGAATTTCAGATTACACCAAACGCATGACACATTAGGCATTTTGGAAAGCCTAGCCTTCTGACTCCAACCCAGGATTGGGAGTGTCGTAGAAAGTATAACTCACCTATATCCACGTGGCTTTCTCTGCATATTAACACTTTACCAACATTGTAAGTGACTGAAGTCCACTGATGAAAGGTACTCATGGTAACATAACTTGTTTAGAAATTTTGAATGTTTTGTTCAAGTCGATCTCACTTAGACGTTAAATTTGTCCTTTGTCAGGATCTATATAAGAGGTTTGCTTTGACACTGGATGTCTTTTGTGGAAAGATTCATTTTCCAGCACCCTGAACATTGTCATTGGTTAAAGTGTTGAATATTCCTTGTCTAGCTGTCTCTTGCCACAGATTATGTAACCAAATGATGTACATAGGGAAAAGTTCAACCAAACATAAAATTTAAGAAGAGGGAGGCTATTTATAGGTGACATCTCTTTTGGAATGAAGTAGTGTTCTGAATTTTGGGAAAATCGAAGCCCTTTTATCTCATTCATTATACTTGTAAATTACCAAAACCACACACAGTTAGCGAATTTCCATTGCCCATGGTATCTAACCCCAAATTTTAGACCCCAAAAAGAGTTAGACATCTAAACTCCTCCAGGTTATCTATTTTGACGATGGAAGCAAAAATTGTATTATATTTGTACTTGGCAGAAAATGTTTCATGTTTCCTTTTCCTTTTCAGTGAGGTGATATGCTATGGGACTTTTATAAGCATGTTCTTTATGACAGTTTCTCCTAATTACTGAAAACGACCCTGGGCTGTTCCTCGAGACTTTTCAGAAAAGACTAGATGTCCTCACCAGAGCTAGAAGAGGGAAGAGTTGAAACTGTGTATTTGCTGGAGGGGAATGGGATGAGGGGATAAAAATGCAGGTTGCCTGTTAGTGTGATGTTAACATACTGGTACTACCCTTTGATGTAAGGTAATTTTAACTATCATTGAATGCTCAGATCTTCAGGTCTTTATAGAAATAAAGTGAAAGGCTCATAAAGAGAATGCTCAGCTTTTCACAGCTTTTCTTCTCTGTAATGTTAAGATTAACCACCACCCTGTTTTATGCCAATCGGAGGTTAAGGCGATTCTGTGGAAGGATCCCCCACTCCTTTTGGCTTGTATTTTGATCTTAAGGCCAGTACCTGCTACTCTCTGGTGGAGGGCTTCTATGGTGCTCTACCAACATCTCCCGTGATACCCAAATGGTAGAATTCTTATTAGGCTTAAAGATTACTTACAAATGTAAGAATTGTGGATGAGGACGAGTCTAAATCTTTTTGTATAAAACCTCATTGTTCAAGGGCCCTGTTTTTGACTTTTGAAAAAGAAACCTATTCATTACCATGCCTGGTCAGTCCCAAGTCGTTCATGAATCCTTTAAATAACCTTGGTGTGGAGCTGACTTATTGGAAGGGCAAGAGGTCTTACAAACATTAAATGATTTCTTAAAGAAGAAAGGAGTCTTGACATTTTTTACTTAAAATTCATTTCTTGACATTATTTTCCAGGTATAGTGGAAATACAGATAGGTAAAAGACTATCCCCTTCCTCAAGATAAGAAACAAAAGAGGCTTTTTTTTTCCCTCCTATTTTCTGGGCTCAGAGGGATTAAATGTTTTACCCAAGATCAGAAAGTTCAGATTCAAATGCAAATTGATTCCATTCCAAAGCCATGTTATCCTGTTCTCCTACAGTGATTTCTCATTCTTGTATTATTCATTCAAAAAGTCCTCTTCCCTTCATTTGAGCCCAAAGCTGTATTAATTTTTATAGTTACCTATCTTGTTTATGGATGTTATCCACTGCTGACTACAACGTATAAAACTTTATTTACTCATTCATTCATTCATTCATTCATTTATTTTTAAGTAAGCTCTATATCCAACGTGGGGCTTGAACTCAGGACCCTGAGATCAGAAATTGCATGCTCTATTAAGTGGGCCAGCCAGCATCTAGACAAATAGATTTTATGTTCAGGCACTGAAAAGCCTATGTTAGTATCTAGGAACTTCTTACACCTTGTGCTTCAGGTAACCAAGAAGCCTTTTTCAGCCATTAATTTAGAAGCCTTATAGGTAAATACCCATATTTTTGTTAGAATCTGTAGCCTGCCTCTTTTCTCTTCATAACAGAAAAGTTTACCAAGAATATAGTGTGAGCTTATGTTTAACGTTACCATAGTAACCGAAGAGCCGGGAGAAGCTGGTATAAAACAGCAACAGGCCACAACAAAATGGGGTCTGACTTTAGAAGTGGACTGAGTTATGGGGCGCCTGGGTGGCTCAGTCAGTCAAGCATCTGATTTCGGCTCGGGTTGTGATCTCACGGTTCATGAGTTCAAGCCCCACGTCGGACTCTGTGCTGCCAGCTCAGAGTCTGGAGCCTGCTTCACATTCTGTGTCTCCCTCTCTCTCTGCCTCTCCCCTGCTCATGCTCTGT